CAGGCATTGTGGCGGGCACCTGTAGTCATAGCTACTTGGGAGGCTGAGGCAAGAGAATCGCTGAAGCCCAAGAGTTTGAGGTTGCTGTGAGCTGTAACACCATAGCACTTTACTGGGGAAGACATAGTGAGACTCTGTCTCAAAAATAAATAAATAAATATATATGTAGGTCAATGAAGTAGAATTGTAAGTTCAGAAATAAAGCCTTACATTTATGATAATTTAATTTTTGGCAAGGGTAGCAAGACAATTCAGTATGGAAAAAATAGTCTTTTCAACAAATGATATTGGAACAATTGTATTTTCACATACAAAAAAACTAATTTAGACCCCTTCCTCACACTGTGCACAAACATGAACTCTAAATGGATTTCAGACCTAAAATATAAGAGCTAAACATATGAAACTCTTAGAAGAAAAAATATGACTAAATTTTTATCTGAGTTAGGTGATAATTTATTTCACAACACTAAAAAGCATAAGCAATAGAAGAAAAACATAGATAAATTGTACTTCTTGAAAATAGTTCTTTTTTAAAATTTTGTCATTTGGATACCATCAACAAACTGAAAATACAACCTGCAGAATGGGAGAAAATAGTTTACAAATCATATATCTGATAAAAGACTTGTATCCAGAATGTATGAAAAACTCTTACAATTCAGAAGACAAGCCAGTTCAAAAATGGGTGAAAGACTTGAATAGATTGTGTCTCCAAAGATATACAAACAGCCAATAAGCAAATAAACTTATGATCAACATCATTATTCATTAGGGAAAAACAGGTCAAGACTGCATTGAGATGCCACTTCATGCCCACCAGGATGGCTTTAATAAAAAGGCAGACAATAACAAGTATTGTGTCGATGGGGAGACATTGGAACCAGCATCCATTAATTGTGGGAATTAAAAATGGTATTGTTACTTTGCAAAGTAATTTGGCAGCTCTTCAAAACAGGGTGGAAAAGAACAAAGAGTAATTAACTCCTAATGAGTAAGGATTTATTCTTGGAATGGCAAGAATGTTCTAAAATTCACACTGTGAATTTACAAAAACTATTGAATTGTACATTTTATTTATTTTTTATTTTTTATTAGATCATAACTGTACATTACTACATTGATGGGGTACAATGTGCTGATTTTATATACAATTTGGAATTGTACATTTTAAATGAATGAATTATGCAGTATATAAATAATAAGTTGTTAAACAGCCATTCGTCCTCATAACATTTTCATCTTTTTATCTAACTACCTATTTCTCTTGAGTTAATAGCTTTTCTGAAAGAGTAAAAATATTTTTTAAATGCTGTCAGTGATATATAATTACCCAAGAGCCTCCAGAAGAACTCATATTGTTTCTATCTTATTTGTTTTGTTTGTAATTTCTGTATACAACTAGAATCCCTTGAGGAAGATGACATAATTATTCATTTAAAGACCTTCACTCTTGATACTATTTATACCTGAGTTTAGTGGTTCTCTCTCTCTCTCTTTTTTTTTTTTTTTTTTTGTCCACCACTGCATTTTTATTACCTCCATGTTTTGAAGCAATTCATGACCAGCATAGTGCTCTGAGGATATTTTTTACAACAAATGAAAGCATTTAAGAAAAAGGCACATGATCCTTGACTAGGTAAGATATCTGCAAAGCCCCTGCTTGAGGCCTGTCTCCTTCCCTTTTGAGAAGCAGCCCCTATAGTGACCCATACTAGTACCCTAGAAACATTCAGCAAAGTGACCCTAATCTCCCTGATCCCCTCTCCCCACTTCCCCAGCAGCTGGGATGAAGGCAACATACTCCTCACGAGTCATTTGATCTTGAGGTCTTTCAATGCTGACTCCAAGCTCTTCACGTCCCAGATGCTCATACCACCATCCATGCCAGTGGTGGAAAATTGTGAGCACTTGGCCTTGCCCCCACTGAGCACCGAGATCTGGCTGACGCTGTTCTTGTGCAGTGAGTCAAGGCCAGCCCCTGAGGACGGGCCACCCTCCGAGCTCGCTTTCTTGTCTAGGTTCTGGAAGCATTCATGGGCTGTCAAGCCCCGCTGCAGCTCTGCTTGGGCACGTCCAGCCTCCCGCTGAAGCTCAGCGTCCCTGCTGTGCCATCATAGGTAAAGAGCACTGGGAAGCAGTCGTGGCCCGCTGCCACCAGGCTGTTTTCTGTGATGAAGGTCAGTGCCAGCAGCGGCAGAGTTTCAGAGGCCAGGGTTGCAACGGCCATCTTCTTGTCAGCATCAGCCAGGCACACAGTGCTGTCATGACTGACGCAGGCCACACGGCTCCCGCTGACTGAGAAGCAAACGCCATGCACCCAGCCACAGCTACTGCTGGATTCAAACATCAGCTCACCAAAGGACATCTTGGAGCCCCATGGTGTGGGTGCCGGCCTCTCCTCCACCTCCTTGATGTAAGCTGAGAAGATCCAGCACTTGAAGTCACAGGAGCCTGCAGCCAGGAGCATGTTGTTGGGGTCCCAGTCCACGCTGAGAACAGTGGAGCGGAGGGCTTTTTGATGTGCTTGCACACCCACCAGTCATTCTCCTGCTCAAAATAACAGATGGAGATAACACGGGAGCCACTGCCCACAGGAAATTTGTTCTCGTTGGGGGCCCAGCGCACACAGTGAGCAGCCCGGTTAATCCACAGGATGACCAGGGTAGGCTTCCATGTGCGGCCCTTCAGTGTCCACACGTAGGTGTTGCGATCTGTGCCGCAGCTTACAATGAGGTTACTCTCAGGAGCCCAGTCGATGCCTGTCACCTGCCCATTGTGCTCCTTGAGCTCATGCACCTTGGTCCACTTGGTCCCACTCTTCTCATAGATGTGCACCTCATGGTTGTTTGGGCAGATGGCAATTTGGGTGCGGTCCTTGTTCCAGGCATGGCAGCTGATGGGCTCCACCAGGAAGCTGTGGTAGGCCATGGCCACTTGGCTCCTGCAAGATCTTTGGCCGCGGACTCTCTAGTGGTTCTCTTTTTTAGAGATGGGACTGCAAAACTCAGCTGCCCACTGTGTTATTTCATAGTTGTGCAAGTCTTGATTGTCTAAAGAGAAGAAGCCAGAATCAGAGAGTATTATGTAATATCAGGTCATGAGAAAACACACAGGAATGTGCTGCCAGTCCTTGAAGTGTTGTGGGAGAGGTGGTAGATACTTTGGTATTCATAAATATAGAGGGAGCAGAGAAATGAAGAAATGCAAACCAAAAGACTGTGCCAATATATCAGCACACCCAGATGGTGGATGTATTCCTCAGGGAAATGGGAAATGGGTAAGCAGAGGAAAGGAAAAGGTTGAGGATCAAACCCTGGAGGACTCTGTGGATCAGAGAAGGGAGAGTCTTGTGGAGCTAGGTAGAAGCTTAAGAGAACCAGAACGATCCGATGGGGTGGTGTCAGATGTAGCCAAGTGCTAATAGGATGGATATATCCTTTCAGATCTGACTGAAAGGAGCTTATTGGTGAATTTAGAGAAGAGATCATCAGTGGACTTTTGAGGATATAAGTTAGAATTTAGAAAGTATACAGATATGAAGGGAGTGAAGGCATCATTTGAGTGGGACTGTTAAGGATGAAAAGAGGATGATAATTGAAAAGGATAGATGCTTCTATGTAGAATATGAAGGCTTTTTCTAGGTAGAGTAGAAACTATGTATGTTTGAAGAGAGCTTGGCTACCTGCATTTGGAAAGAAGAAAATGACTTATTAATTATTAATATACCACAATACTGCAATCCTATTTTATGGTTTTCTTTTTAGATTTTTTTTACTTTAAAGCATTATTATGCACTGTAGAAATCATCCAAAGATTTATTTTACAGGCTTTGTCACAAAACAGTGGGACTAGACAGGTCCCAAGGAATCTGTACGGGCTGGACAGGCATGTTCCTAAAGCAATCCAAAAGATAATCTGTTTATTTTCAAGATGATTAAAGAAAGAAATTTGGCAGCTTCCCCAGTAACCTATGATACTCTAAAACACTTACTTCCGTTTGCTTAACTAAAATATAAAAGTGCAGAGAGATGAAATTCCAGCATGCCAATCAGTAAATGCTACTTTCTTACTTACTATAAACTTGGCTTATCTTATAGGACCAACAATAAAGAATGATGTGAAAGCCATAAACTGTCATCCCCTGGCAATAATCTCCTGTTATTATGAACATCGGTAGATTGAAGATGTAATTTCTCAAAGGGACTTAAGCATTTTGGGGCACAATTCCAGGGACATTGTGTTCTATTCAACATCAACAGTTTCTACTTTATCAAAGGCACCGCCCTTTAGAGATTAAAGGCCACTTTGGAAAGGTAGTAATTTTTTGGAGTAAAGGTACAAAACGAACTTGACCATTTCTCTAGGGCTTTGTTGCCCTTTATTTTTAAAGAGCAGTCATCATTTTGAAGCTCCCAGAGCTCTTGCCTCACACTCTTAGGTCATGAAGGCATTTCTCATTGAAAAGTGGTTTAGGATTGAGAAACTACCAACATCTTGATGAGAAAATTTTAGAATCACATTTAGGAGACTGAGAGAGTCCCCACTCTCAGGCAGTTTTCTGTCAGCCAAGAGACATCTCCACTACTTTAGGGACTGACATATGCAAAAGTAACCTTAAATTGTCTGGGAGGCCGTAGAGGAAATAAGCCCTTTCAGGCACTTGTGAGAAAACAGGAAGTGAATCATAGGTACTGCTTCCCCACTACGTGTATTTCCTTAGCAGATTTAGGTTTTCTATGGAATAAGAACAAAGAAGCCAGATATTGTTGAGAGTGAAACTAATTAATGAAATCCTTTATCTACTTGTTGCACTTGTCAACAGGATAAAAGTTTTTTATACACTCTTATGATCTTCCATAAGATTCCATGGCTCCCATTCCTAAAAAGATTGCCAGGCCAGATTCTCCTTTCTCCCTGAACTGTTCACTTCTCCTGTCATCTCTGCTTACGAAGGCCCAGATCACGGGGTCTGTAGAACTTGTGTGAAATCATACTCAAACTGGCATCATTCTGTGAAGAATTTCTTTAGGAATGCTGAACACATTTTATTTATTTATTTATTTATTTATAGAGACAAAGTCTCACTTTGTTGCCCTCAGGAGAGTGGGTGGAGTGCTGTGGCATCACAGCTCACAGCAACCTCCAACTACTGGGCTTAGGTGATTCTCTTGCCTCAGCCTCCCGAGTAGCTGGGACTACAGGTGCCCACCATAATGCCCGGCTATTTTCTTGTTGCAGTTTGGCCGGGGCCGAGTTTGCACCTACCACCCTTGGCATATGGGGCTAGTGCCCTACTCATTGAGCCACAGGCACTGCCCTGGACCACATTTTATTGAATTATATGTATAACATTTTTCTTAATGTATCCAAACTGTTGAGAATATAGTTTTTAATCAAATGTATTTTTCAAAGCAAAGATCAATTTTATATTGGACTGTTTCTTTAATATACATGCATTTTACAGAGGAAAATGGAGATTTTTCCAGATTTCCATTAAGGGAAGAATTATAACAAGAACCAGCTGTTCTGAAGGCTGCCCCTAATCTATTACTTAACCTCAGCCTCTCACGTCTCCAATAGCTATTTTTGTGTTCTGTGTAAAGTGTCTCTGTGTATTTCTCTCAGAACATGCTTTAGCATTTTCCAATTGGCCATGTTCCTCGGTAGTCATCTTATACCCCTGGAGTTTCTTAGTCTCTATTTTTACTCCATAGAAACAGAAAAAAATGCATGTGGAAGATTTATAAGTTTAACATTTCAAAGTTCTCTTTCTTTTAGTTGGGAAGTTTAAATGTCTCTAGAATAAACCAATCTCCCCATTCCATCAGCCTTATAAGAGGCAAGAAAGCATATTTTATGAGCAAGGGTTTTAGGAGCAGGAAATTTCTGTTCTACTATTTACTAGCTACTAATGTCACTGGGCTTAGTTTCCTCATTTATAAGATGGAAATATTAATAGTGCTTGCCTCCATAGGATTGGAGCAAGCATTACATGAGATATATATGAAAAGCTTCAGCTAGTGCCAGCCATGGAGAAATATCTTAATCAATGTTAGTGATGATGGTGACAATTATGATAAAGGATTTGGAATCTCACAAAGTTGTATTGCAGCATTACGAAATAGCATTTTCAGATAAGAAATCATATCACGTAATCTGCGAAAGTTATTCTTTTTGAGACATTGTCTCACTCTGTTGCCCCAGGCTAAGTGCTATGGCATCAGCCTAGCTCACAACAACCTCAAACTCCTGGGTTCAAGCCATCCTCCTATCTCAGCCTCCTGAGTACTGGGACTACAGGCACCCACCATAATGCCCAGCTAACTTTTTTATTTTTACTAGAAACGGGGTCTCACTCTTGCTCAGGCTGTTCTTGAACTTCTGAGCTCGAGCAATCCTCCCACCTTGGCATCCCAGAGTGCTAGGATTACAGCCATGAGCCAAAGCACCTGGCCCTGCCAAAGTTATTTGAATTTGCTATGTGAAAGGGAAAATTACTTCTTTATCACTTAATGGCTGCTATATATTCTTATTCCGTTAGGGGGTGTGCACACACCTGTGCATGTACATGTATATGCTTCTTGTGTCTTGTGTTTCTGCCATGATGGTCAAGAGTTTTGCTTTACCCGCTCTTTAAAAATTCAACACAAAATATTGTGCAGTACACACAATAGGTTTTCTTTACAAATAATTTGTTCCCTTAAAAAGTCAAATTCTCATGCAAAATTGTACTAGTAGAAAGGATTTGGACATTATGAAGATCTACAAGACATTTATTTTTAAAGTAAAAGAAATTAAATTAGCAAATAAGGCCTTAGAAACTATCTAAACATAGTGTCTTTTCTTAAAGATTCATTCTCTACTCACCCTTGCTTTTGCTTAGCACAATGCCTGTTATACAATGAAATGAAGTAAATGGCTGCTACTAATGAGCTATCTTCATGTTAGAAGTCTTGGTGCCAAGCAATAGAAACCAACTTGAGTGAACAAGAAGGAATTTACTGAAAGGATGAGAGGGCCCACGGAATTGGCATGATGCTAGAGGACCATGCTTAAGAATGAGCAGAGAGCAGGAGAGCTCTGGCAAGTTAGAGGCAAGAACCATAGCCGTGGTCTTTGTAGCAGGGCACATCTGCTTAGCATGCTGCCATGGAGAAGGAGAACCCACAGTATACTTTCTTCTATACTTGGGTGACCCACTTCAGGGTCAGAGTCCTCTGGGAGTGTGTGATTAGCTAAACTCAGATTACAGGCTCACAGCCAGGAGCAGAAGTGGGGATTACTCCCTTCTGTAATGGGAGCTGGTACCTAGATCTGTTCTCCCTACACAGCTATACACAGGAGAGGCAGTTCCCTATAAAGAAACCTGAGTGCTATTAGGAAGTGGAATGGATTCTGGGAAGCCCAAAATGACAAATTCCCATTATTCCAAATGGCTAATACTCTGATACATTTGGCAGAGCCTATAGTCTAGCCATTCTTTAATTAGCCTGGGTAGAGCTTCAAACACAGTCTGAGATATTCTGTCTTGCTATTTCTGTCCTAGATGTGGTCTAAAGACAGTCCTCCATGTCATCATCCTGTTCCCATCTGAGTGGGAACATCCTTCCAAAGAAATTAGATAGGAACTCAAGAGTTGAGAATGTCATAGTGTCAGCATTAGGTCATAGGATGAGCTACCTTAAAATAAATAGAAATAAATTTAAAGCTATTATTTCCTGTAAAGGAAAAACAGCTAACATAGAACCAGGGAAATTTTGCTCATTTTATTAAAATTGGGTCCTGTATTAAAAAACTGTATTTAGTTTCCATCAAAGTGAATCCTTCGGATCCAGTAGAGGTTACTCTGTTAGAACTGTGTCAATAACTCTTATGCAGTTAACTCTTTGAAAATGGCTGTCTTACGTTGGTTGTTTCTTTTTATTTTTAGAATGCCATTCTAATTTAAGATATCATCACTTTCAACTGATTCTATTTGCTTTTTTATTATAGGGGAAAACTTATCCATTTCGAGGTGCTTTTCCACCAGTTTGGAATCCCATTGCATATCTGGATTACAACAATCTGTGGCGCACAATGGATAACATGGGAAAGGAGGTAAATTGCTTATTACCAAGTATTGATATTACAGTGGCAACTATTTTATATCCTTCCATGATGTGGGGAACATTGCTGTAGACATTGATGCAAATCATTTCCAAAGTACTCAACAACTCTGCAAAGTTGGTTGTATCTCCAACTGAGAAATGAGGAAAATGAGTGCCAAAAGGTTATGTAATTTACTCAAAACCCCACAGCAAGTGAGCCAGGATTCAAATCCACTCTCTCTGATGCTAATGCCTATGTGTCTTCAACTCTATACCACTGAGCATTTATATGACATGTTTTTGCCAGGTACCTCTACTTACAGTTGTCTTATCCATACATAATGCCACTATAAATGCCAAGGGAGAGAAAGATTTGCTGCCCCCAAATGGGTTGGGTTTTGTTTCGTTTTCTTTCGTTTTATTTTTGAGACAAAGTCTTGCTCTGTTGCCTAGGCTAGAGTGCAGGGGCATCATCATAGCTCATTGAAACCTTAAAGTCCTAGGCTTAAGCAATCCTCTATGCCCAGCCAATTTTATATTATGTATATATGTATGTGTGTGTTTATTTATTTATTTATTTATTTTGTAGAGACAGAATCTTGCTGTTGCCAGGCTGTTCTTGAGCTCCTAGCCTTAAGTGATCCTCCTGCCTTGGTCTCTTAAAGTGCTAGGATTACAGGAGTGAGCCATTGTACCTGGCCCGGAGGTTGTTTTTACTTAGTCTTATGCTCTGTAACATCATTCTCTCAAACTTAAATTGGAGAGATAAAATGGGTGTTAACTTTCAAAAGTAATAACAAAAACAACCAATAAATTTATGCTTAGACTTATATGTTATTATTGTCATTATTATTGTTGTTTTGGCAACAGCATGAAAGCATAGTAATGACCCCCCCTTCTTTACATAAAATTCCATGCCAATCACACACTGCAACATAGAGACAAAGAGACCCATTTTCAGAGGTTCTCATGAGGGCCTACGGGTGGTGGCAGTTACCATCACACCTGAGTGTTGGACCTCCTTTCTCTGCAGATTCCAGCTGATGCACCCTGGCAGGCACCACATGCTGAGGAATGGGACAGGATGACCATGAAAGAGCTCATCGATAAAATCTGCTGGACAAAGTAAGTAGGCTTGACTGTGTAAAACTTTCTTTTTATATTCCCATCCTGTCTCAAGCTACAGTGCTTTTCTTAATAAGTTACAGGAAAAAAATTAAGAGGAAACCTAATAATCTTTTAGTCAATAGCAACTCTGAGGGTACTTTAGACACTTTAAAGCAGACTGGAATAGAAAATGAATCTAAAAATTGAGAAAAGTCAGTGAATGAAGTAGAACTTCTTTTAGTGAATGGATCATGTGATCTGTAACAAAACCAGTAACTGTGTTTTCATATTATTTAGAGGTTAGCTACAAAAGCCATTTGGAAAGATATTTAAAAGTTAATTCCATGTAGATATAGAATAATAGGAAACTAGGGTGACACCTGTGGCTCAGTAAGTAGGGCACCGGCCCCATGTACCAGGGGTGGCAGATTAAAACCCAGCCCCAGACAAACTGCAACAAAAAATAGCCCGGTATTGTGGCAGGCGCCTGTAGTCCCAGCTACTCCAGAGGCTGAGGCAAGAGAATCACCTAAGCCCAAGAGCTGGAGGTTGCAGTGAGCTGTGACACCACAGCACTCTACCAAGGGCAACAAAGTAAGACTCTGTCTCTTAAAAAAAAAAAAAAAAAACAAGGGTAGCACCTGTAGCTCAAAGGAGTAGGGTACCAGCCCCATATGCCAGAGGTGGCAGCTTCATACCCAGCCCCAGCCAAAAACTGGAAAAAAAAAACAAGAATAATAGGAAACTAGAGGAAAGTTAGCCCGTAATAATAAAAATATAAACTACCTAAGCTTTTCCGTAAGAATATGTATTTTTAGTTTACTTACCATTAATTTTGCTAAGTTTTTTTTGGTATTTATTTTGCATGTATTATTTATTTCTTAATATGTATACTTATTAATTTTACTTACATTTATGTATTTATGTTTATATTATTTATAATATTTATATCATCATATAATATTTAGCATGTGTTTATTTGGAGCCTACTATGTGAAGACACTATACTCAGCACTAAGGAATGGAGGTGAACTTCTTAGGAATAGCCTTCATCATCATGGAGTTTATATGCTTCTCGCAAGCAAGACTAACCTTGAACATATAATTACATAACACTAGGACAGTGCCTATAACAGCAAGAACTTTACATGGTTCATTTAATGAAGCAAGCTTCAAACAGAAACCAAAGAGTTAGTGTATCAACTAAAAATTAGCCACAGCGGCAGTGGGAAGACACAGAAGGGTGGATGATGTTCAGGACTGATGGCTGATACTATCCAGGAATGATACAGAGGGGTAGGGGAGAGATAAGGTAGATGGCATAAAGGGATGGTATCTTGCAGTAATGACCACACAGGATTGATGGTGTGTGGAGAGGATGGTATCATCCAAGAATAACCCCAGAGTCAGGAGGAGACAGGAAAGGTGCGATAGTGTGGTGATGCAGAGGAAATGATATATCCCAAAAATTACCAATAGGGTCAAGAGGAGCAAAAGAGAAAGATGAAAAATCAAAAGGAGGGCTGATGTTCCAGAAATGACCCGCAGAGACAGGACAGGAGGGGACTGGACGAGTGGATGGTATGGAAGAGATTGGATTTTCCTAGAATGACCCACAGATGATAGAGGGAGACAGGAATGATTGGTAGTATGGGGAGATAGTATCTTTCAGGTATGACACATAGGTTCAAAGGAGGAGACAGTGTATGGTGGGGCAGGATAGTATCTTCCATTAATGAGCCATAGAGATGGGGCAAAACAGGAAGGATAGATGGTGTAGCAGGACAGTATCTTCTAAGAATGACCCAAAGAAGCATGGGGTAGACAGAAAGGTAAATGTTGGGGTGATGACAACATCCAGTAGTGGCACAGAAGGATAGTGGAGAGATGGGAGGGATGGAAGGCATAGCTAAACATAAGTTCTAAGAATGAGCCACAGGGGCAGGGGGGGTTCTGTGTGGCAAGATGGTATCTTCCAGGAATTGCCCAACAGTATTAGGAGGGGAGAAGAAACATAGATGGTGTGGGGTCATGGTATCTTCCAGGAATAGCCCACAAGAACAAGAGGAGGTCAGGAAATGTCGGACAGTATGTGGGGTAGAGGCATGATATTTTCTAACTATGACTCATAGGAGCTAGAGAGAGACAGAGAAGCATACTTTGTATGATGGAATAGTATTTTCCAGGAATGACCTAAAGGATCAAGGGGGAGATTGGAAGGGTGGATGTTGGTGAGGGTATCTTCCCCTGATTGGGAGGAGAAGCAGATAGGAAGCATGGATGGTGAGGCAGGGTGGTATTTTCCAGGAATGACCCTCAGTGGTTGGGGAGTGGGTATAAATGGCAGTGTTAATGTTGTTAGGGAGATGGTATCTTCCAGAAATGAGCTATAGGTGTAGGGAGGGTAGACAGAGTAGTTTTTCTTTTTCCAGAAATGACTCACAGGGCGGGGATAAATAGCAATGGTGTGTGGTGGGGAGAAGATGCAAGAATGGCCCACATGATTGTGGGGGAGCAGAGAAAGATGGAAAATGTGGATGGATGATATTTTCAGTGTGACCCACAGGAGCAGTGGGAAAACAGAGGAGGGTGGATGATGTGGCAGGATGGTATCTTCCAGGAATAAGCCACACTGTTAGGGAGGCAGTAAAAAGGAGGGATGTTCTGAGGGGGTAGTATCTTTTAGGAATGGCCCACAAGAGCAAGGAAGGGGGATAGAGAATGTTGGATTGTGTGGGGAAGGGAATAATATATTCTAATTATGACCTATAGGGGCTATGGAGAGACTGTTAAGATTGGCCTATGTGGAGGGATGGTATTTTCCAGGAACGACCCTAAGGTTCCTGGGAGAGACTGGAAGGGTGGATGATGTGGGAGGATATGTTCCAGCAGTGACTCAAAGGAGTCAGGAGAGACAGGAAGCATGGATGGTAAAGGAGAATAGTATTTTCCAGAAATGACCCTTAGGGAATCAGGCAGGGAAAACAGGAAAGGTAGATGGTGTGGGCAGGATGGTATCTTCCAGGATGACCCACAGGAACAAGGGGGAAACAGAGGGAGGGTGGATAGTGTGAGGGGTAGTTATCTTCCAGGAATGTGTTACAGGTTCTGGAAGGAGTCAGGGAAAGGTAGATGTTGGAGGGTGGGGGTTCATCCTGAAATGACCGAGAGGGGTAAAGAAAGATAGGATGTTAGAATGATATAATCCAAAAATTAGACACAGGTGTGATGTGGGGACATACAGGAGGGATAGATGGTGTAGGGGAGTGAATAACTTTCAAGAATGACCCATAAGGGGCAGGGGGTACACATGAAGGATGAATGATATGGAGGGGATAGCATCTTCTAGGAATGATCCACAGAGTTGGGAAATGTGCAGAGGGGGATGATATCTTCCAGAAATGGGCTACAAGGGCAAGGGGCAGACCAGAATGGTGGATATTGTGTGTGTATGGGATTATCTTCCAGAAATGACCCAAAGGGGTGGAGGGAGACGGGAATCCTGGATAATGAGGCAAGATAATATTTTCCAGGAATGACCCTCAGAGCCCATGGGGAGACAGGGAATATTGGATAATGGAGGGAGAATAGTATCTTCCTAGATTGACTTAGTGGTGAGTGGTGGGGATACAGGAAGAATTCAGTGATTTGGGGATGGGGGATCTAGGCAGGGAAGACAGGTAGGAGCTCTTGTGAATATCTTGAGGTAAGAAGGATACTGGCATGTTTGAGCAGCTGAATGGATAGTATTCTGGACCTTAGGGATAAACCAACAAGTGATAAGAGGGGATGTTGGAGGACTGCTGGAGAGACCAATGGTGCAGGATATATTGCCCACATTCAAGATTTGACTTTTCTCTATTGAAACCTATTAAAGGGTTATGAACAGAGGATTTTTTTGAGTTTTATACTTTTAAAAGATCACATTGGCTGTCATGTGGAGAAGGATACAAGAGGTGATGTAGGATGGCCAGGTAGGAGCCACTACTGTTGTAACCCAGGTAAGGGATCATGGTAGCCTGGGCCAGGGCCATGGCAGTGAAGATAAGGAGGAGAGGATGGTTGTTAAGATAGATGAAAGCAAATAACCTTAATGATCCCTGGCCAGCATATTGACCTATATACAGAACCAGGATTAACATATTTGCAGTTAATTGATAATTTCTTAAAAGCAGGAGAAAATTTTACTTTCTCCAAGAGTTAAAAAATGTATTCCTGGGCTAGGTGGCACCTGTAGCCCAAAGGAGTAGGGCACCGGCCCCATATGCCAGAGGTGACAGGTTCAAACCCAGCCCTGGACAAAAACTGCAAAAAAAAAAAAAAGTATTCCTAGGCTAGGTACAGTGGATCACGACTGTAATCCTAGCATTCTGGGAGGCTGAGGCAGGAGGATCACCTAAGCTCAGGAGTTTGAGACCAGCCTGAGCAAGAGCAAGACCCCATCTCTACTAAAAATAGAAAAATTAACTGGATGTTGTGACAGGCACAACTGTCCCTGCTGAGGCAGAAGGATCACTTGAGCTTGAGGTTGCTGTGAGCTAGGCTGATGCTAGCTCAGCCTAGGCAACAGAGTAAGACTCTGTCTAAAAAATGTTTTAAATGCATTCCTTCAGAAATTGAGTCCACGAGGTTTTTTTTTTCTTTTTCCAATTGCAACAGAAATACTTTCTAACCACACTAAATTGTCTTTTAAAAACATGAGGTCCTCAGACTCCTATAAGTATTGATGCCTGACTTGCACTCTTGCTCTGTAAACAGGACTGCTAGGCGGTTTGCTTCTCTTTTTGTGAATATCAACGTGACCTCTGAGCCCCATGAAGTGTCTGCCCTGTGGTTCTTGTGGTATGTGAAACAATGCGGGGGCACCACCAGGATATTCTCTGTCACCAATGGAGGCCAGGTATGATATAGCCATTCTGAAATTGTAACTTCTTCAGTGACTTTGCCTTTCACCAGAGCAGTATCTTTAATAATTATTTTAATGTTTTGAAACATGAATAATTAGAAATGTAAAATGACCTCAAAAATCTTTTATGGAAAAAATTTCTCATTTCCTATTTTTCATTCTTGAAAAGAAATTCACAGCTAAAGGATATTTCAGTTGTGCCTGTAGCTTAAGTGGCCAAGGGGCTAACCACATACACCAGAGCTGGTGGGTTCAAATCTGGCCTGGGCCTGCCAAACAGTGACAACTACAACCAAAAAATAGCCGAGCATTGTGGCGGGCACCTGTAGTCCCAGCTACTCGGGAGGCTGAGGCAAGAGAATGGCTTAAGTCCAGGAGTTGGAGGTTGCTGTGAGCTGTGACACCACAGCGCTCAAACCAGGGCGATAGCTTGAGGCTCTGTCTCAAAAAAAAAAAAAAAAAGACTATTTCATTTTGAATTAATAATGTTTTAAGAATTAAGTTCCTTCCGGGGGGGTGCCTGTGGTTCAGTGGGTAGGGCACCAGCCCCATATATCGAGGGTGGTGGATTCAAACCCAGCTCCAGCCAAACTGCAACAAAAAATAGCTGAGTATTGTGGTGGGCGCCTGTAGTCCCAGATACTCTGGAGGCTGAGGCAAGAGAATCACCTAAGACCAGGAGTTGGGGGTTGCTGTGAGCTGTGTGATGCTATGGCACTCTACCGAGGGCAATAAAGTGAGACTCTGTCTCTACCAAAAAAAAAAAAAAAAAGGATTAAGTTCCTTCCTTTTGGAGGTAGGTAAAATTAGGCTGTTTATGTAGGTGATCAATTACAAAAAGAAATTAATTTCCTCAAATTATAGTACTTGCAAAATTGTTTTAAGTCATCTCTGTTCCAGACATAAGGCATCTGTCCTATCTGTTTCTCAGAGCTATTCTTTTATGTTAACTTTGATAGAATGGAAGTGACTTTTCTTTTTTCTAACTTACACAAGTGATTTATGGCCACTCTTTGAATAGTAAATTTTACATTTCGAATTTTAAATTTTTGCTGCCCACTTTCATTGTCAGCTTCCATACCCAATTTGGTTCATTGACTGAAAACACAGGAAACCCACGGTGAAGCTATAATTTACATTCCTTGATGCCCTAGATTCTGAGATTCTTTGCTTCAAGGCTCTCCCTTAGCCAAAGAAAATGGGGTATGTCTTTTCTAGGAATGGTATGCCCTGATAGAATGAGGTTTAATTGGTAGCAGTTTACTTTGAGTGCATAGTACAAGAGTCTTTTTCCATCTAAGTGAATTATTCCTCTCCTTAGGAGATCATGAGAGGTCTCCACATTGTTTTTGAAACACCAAGACTTATTGCCCATTTGACCCTTAGCTTTGGCAAGGACAAAATGCAGGACAGCTGATTTATTTTTTTTCTTTATTTTTAAATTATTCATTTTATTTCTAAATATATATATTAAGGGGGTACAAATGTTTTAGGTTACATGAATCACTTCTGTAATACTTTAGTCCCAGCTCTAGGTGTGCCTATCACCCAAATGATATTCATTGCACCCATTAGGTTTTTGCCCCTCCCTTCCTTCTCTCTCCACCTTGGTTGATTTCCACTGAGTTTTCCTTCCTTCTGTGCACATATGTGCTCATCGGTTAGTTTCAGTTTAATAGTGCATATGTGTGGTGTTTGTTTTTCCATTTTTGAGATACTTCACTTAGGATAATAGTCTCCAGTTCCATCCATATTGTTGAAAAGGTATGAATTCATCTTTTTTATGGCTGAGTAATACTCCATGGCTTGTATATGCCACATTTGGTTGCTCCATTGGTGAACTGATGGGTACTTGGGTTGATTCTACATCCTTGCAGTTGTGAATGTGCTGCAATAAACATTTGAGTGCAGGTGTCTTCTTCATAAAGTGACTTATTTTTCCTTGGGTAGATAACCTAATAGGGGGATTGCTGGATCAAATGGCAGGTCTAATTTTAGTTATCTGAGAAATCTCCATACTCTTTTCCATAAGGGCTATACTAACTTGCAGTCCTACTAACAGTATATAAGCATTCCTTTCTCTCTGCATTCATGGCAGCATGTTGTTTTTAGAATTTTTAATGAAAGTAATTCTAATGGGGGTAAGATTATATCTGATTGTAGTTTTAATTTGCATTTTTCTCTGATAATTAGTGATGTTGAGCATTTTTTCATGTTTAATGACCATTTTCCTCTCTTATTTTGAGAAGCTTCTGTCTATGTCTTTTACCCACTTTTTTTTTTTTTTTTTTCTGAGACAGAGCCTCAAGCTGTCCCCCTGGGTAGAGTG